TGTGGGGTGTGTGAGGGGTGTGTGGCGTGGTGTGGGGGGGTGTGGGGTGTGTGAGGGGTGTGTGGCGTGGTGTGGGGTGATGTGGGGTGTGTGAGGGGTGTGTGGCGTGGTGCGGGGTGTGTGGGGTGTGAGGGGTGTGTGGGGGGTGTCGCCCTGGGACCTCATGGCGGCGTCGGGGGACACCCGGCTGCACCTCTGGCACCTCTGGAGCGGGGGGCTCTGAGCTGGAGCTGCCTCGGGCCGGGAGGCAGGCCCGGGCAGCGTCTTCTCCCATCTCCGTCAGCGCCCTGACCCATCGACGTTGGGGCCGCTGAGGGGCCAGGAAAGACCCCACTGCCTGGGGCTGGCCTGCGAGGGTGCAGCTGCCCCAGCCCCGAGCGGCAGGCCCCACGGGGAGTAAACCTGGGACCAGGAGCTACCAGCAGCCACCGCAGGTCCAGCCTGCGCCCCCACCCAGGGCCCAAAGCCGAGGCCACGCCCCCGGGGAGTCACGTGGCAGGGGAGGCCATCTGGTGCAGATGGACGGACTGTCACAGTCAGTGTCACTAGTGTTCCCAGGGCCCAGATCCCCACCCCGAAGGCCTTTCAGACCTGCAGCCCACCTCCCTCCACACCTTGTTGGCAGGGCAGCAGGTCTGCTCTGCCCTGGAGCCCAGGACTGATTCTGGGGCTTTCCTCCGGGTGGGATGGAGCCTCAAAAGCTGGCTCTGAAGGTGGCATTCTTCAGCTGACCCAGGGCAGTCAGCAGGGGACAGTCGCGGCCACAGGTGCAGGCCCCCCCCCCATAAATACTCGGGATGCAAATGGCAAATGCTTAGACATTTACCTTAAATTGCAGGTGGGTGATTTTGAGTCTTTAGGCCAGGAGGTCTCTGGGGGAGTATTTCAAGTCTTAAAAAAGAAGCTAAGCCATTGGGGTGGGGGCCCCTCAGTGTGGCTTGTCTGGGAGTCAGTCACAGAGGAGGCAAATGACCAGGACCAGGGCAGGAGCGATTCAGAGCCAGACGAGCGGAGGGCACCCTTGCCCCTTCTGCCAGGTTGGAACATTATTCCATGAGCATTATTACCTTAATATTTTTTTGAATGAGTAATTTAAAAAGACCAGTTCTATTCTAATAGGTGTATGTTGGTGGGGGCTCATCTGGCCCCCTCTGTGTGCATGCTCCCCACATCAGTCCAGCATGAAGTCCTGTCTGAAGGTGTATGGGGGTGTTTGGTGGGGGGACCCCCGTGTCTACAGAGGTGGGTCACAGGCCCGGTGGAAGTGCATGGCAAGCCAGCAGAATCCCATGTCCTCTCTCCTCCACAGCCCTGCAGAGGCCTAGCTGGGGCACATGGGAGGCTGGTCTACCCTCCCCCCAATCCGTTCTTGCCCTTTTCCATTCATCGCCATACCTCCAGGGCCTCAGAGTCCTGACCCGTGATCAGGTATGACGGTCAACTTCGAGGAGGAGGAAGCATTGTGACTGCCCTGCATTCTGTCTAAACCATTCCCTTCCCTTTTCCAGAAACTCCTGAACAAACACCAGGCTGGTACCAGGAGGACTTCTAATTTAATATTGTAATAATAAAGACCATGGTGGCACAGAACCATGAACTGCATTTTAAATTCCTGGGGCCACTAATGAACACTGAACTCCTGCTGGAACTGTTGTCAGAACAAGCACACAGAATTGGCGGCTGCAGCTGCAAAAATAAATGGAGCATGGCCCAGCCCACTGCAGCCACGGCCACGGCCAGCAGCCATGGCCATGGGCAGCATCGAGGGACCTGCCACCCACACGCAAGGCAGGGTTACACCGAAAACACCCAAAAGCAAACACTAATCAGGAAAAACTCCTGGAAGGAAACAAACTTAATTTTCCTTTCCCCCTTTGACACCTTTCTCTGTCCAAAGGGAGGGTCTTAATTGGAACACTCCACAATGCGAACACTCCCTCTCTATTACCAAGCGGCTTCAGCACACAGGATACTCTGCTTTTTATCACAGATTATACTTCCTTTCCCCCACGTCTCTGGAAAGGATAAGTGATTACAATTTTGTTATCTTCTAGATTAAATAAAGGTGAAGTTGACTGGGCTGGAGCCGTCTGCACAGCAGTTTAACAATTGGGGCAACAGCGTAACTACTGAGCAATTTTTTGCACAACTCAAAAACTTTTTTTTTTTGCCAAGGAATCAGTCTAATAAACACACTCCGCTGTTGCTGAAATAATTTCTTTTCCCAACTCTTCTAAGAATAAAACACTTTTAATGTATTTGTCATTAAACAAGATTTAAAAGTGACAATTTAGAGAGCGATTGAGAAGAGTCCCACATTCATCATGGGCTCTTGGTTCTAAAATTGGGAGAAAAACAGAACAAGCACTGAGAACACGGGAGACTGGGTGTGTGCGTGCGGACAGCTGTGCATTACACTATTACACCCACTTCAAATTGGCAGCTCTTAGGAGTATCTTGACCAGGGTGCCTGCCCTGCCCTGAGTGACACAGGCCCCCTGGCGTGCTCAATGCTGCCCTGCTGGCCCTTTCAGGAGCTGTCAGAAGGTGATTTTGAAGGCTCCCCCAAGCCCTTTCCCTCTGGGGGTGCCCTATTTCCTGACCTGGGTGGTAGTGACAAAGTTGCTGTTTTACTTTGTAACTGACAAGCGTCACAATACGGGCCAGAGGTCACAAGCACCCCTCTGTCCACCTCCACTGAGGGTCCAGCCTCACCTGACCTTTCCTCAAACCAGACACCACCCAGACTATCCTTAAAGGTGAGGGAGCTGCAGCCCCTCATCAGCCCTGCCCTGCCCACGGCCTGGCCGAGGCTCCTTCCTCGAACCTCACAGCCGCCAGTGGACAGAATGAGCCTCCACCTTCTGCTGGGCTGAGGACTTGAGGGTGTCTGGGAACCCTTCCACTGAGTGCCAGCCCAGCTTGCTACCCGCACCCCAGTTAGCTCCCTTGGTCTCTTCCTGTTTTGGGACCATTTTGGCCCAGGTGGCCACAGGGGAGAAGCCCTCAGCAGGCCCACTCAGGGCTCTGGGGAACGCCAGTCGTCTGGGGACTTTGCGTGGTTCCCCATTCATCCCTCACTCCCCCGAGGTCCAGGCCTCGGTCTGGGCATGTCTGCTGTGACATACCTCGAGTGGGGTCTCCAGCCCCCGCCCGAAGACCCTGGCCCAGCCAGCTCACAGAGAGAGAGCTCCTCCTGCTCCCTGGTCAGAAGGCCCGTCAGGGAAGGCAGAGCCCCAGCCTAGTCCCAGGAGGCAGCCCGAGCAGGATTTGATGAGCTCTGTCCCAGTAGGCCTGGGGCCCAGAGCAGCTTCCATGCCTTCGAGGCCTCCAGACAGGCCGGGACCTAGGCAGGGCAAGCTAGCGGCTTCAGGGAGGGGTCCAGGTGGAACCTTGGTGAGAGCGCCTCCCTACCATCACATTGTCAGACTGCCTTGGTTTCCCCTTCCTTCCCTTCATCTGATAATAGGAGCACCTGAAGTGCCAGAAGAGCGGGGGATGGGGGTAGAGAGGGGGGAACCTAGGGCAGAGATTGGGGAGGTGCAAACGCCAAAGGGAATTCCCAGGAGCCGGCAGGGAGGAGGTGAGCCTGGCCAGGGAAGGGCACCACTGGGTGACACAGTGGTGTGAAGCTGAGCTGCTAGCAGTATATAGTCCCTGGGCCTGGCCTGGGGTGTGCTGCGTGGGCAGTGGAGCCCACAGATCCTTTTCCAGCCCACCCCGCATCCCTGGGTCCACGCTGTGGCCTCAGCCCGGGCTCCTCTCTGGACAGGTAATTTCAGAGTTTAAAGAGAGGCCCTTCGACAGGTGAGCCTCTCAAAGCATTTGCACTCGCTGCTCTGACCCCTCCGCTGCCCAGTGATTGTGCAGCTGGAGAGGTTGCTGAGTGGGCAGGAATCCCAGCTGACAGGCGACCTAGGGCTGGATGCTGACAGAGGCAGCGGCCGCCACTGGCTACAGGAGCCTCCCTCCCATTATCAAAGGCCTGGCAGCCTCAGGGCTCCCGCTCATCCTACACCAGGGGAGGGGCAGAGATCAGAGAGTGAGGGGCAGGGAGTGTGGGAGACCACAGGGCTTCTCCTTCAGGCCGCTCTCACACTGGGGACAAGAGCCCTCCCCCCCCAAGTCCTGCACTCGATGCCACCCCACCATCCCATCAGCCACTCAACTCGGTTACACAGGAGAAAGCTCTTTGTACACCCACAACCAACGTGTGTCTACATAGCCAAAAAAAGGACCCCTAGAAGCCCCCCACAGTGGGTCACAGTGGGGGAGCTTCTAGTGGACTGGCCAGCCAGCCAGCGAGTCAAGGGAGATCTCTGCAGATCAGGAAACACCTAAGAATGGAGATGACTGAGTCAGAGATACAACAGCCCAGACGGCACGAGCGGGCAGACAGGAGTTTCAGTGAGGAGGAAGGCGTCTGAGAACTGCTTTTTCTTCAGTCCTGTCTGGGGGACAAACGGCAACTGCTGAAGAGGACGCCGTGTGCTTGCATTCCTGACACTGCAGGGCTGCCCCCTACCCTCGCAGACAGGAAGCTGGTACAGCTTCACACACAGGCCTCCGAACTCAGGTCAGCGGGTGGCACAGGGACCGTCTCCTTGTCCTCCCGCAGGCAGGTTCGTCTCAGACGCAGGTTAATGCCCAGCAGCCGGCGACGGCTCCTCAGTGCCCAGAGGCTGTGTGGCTCCTGTGCTTTGCTAACTTCCTCAGAGGAGCTTTCTTGTCAGCCAGGTGTCACGATGGCGGCACCTGTGCCTCGCTCAAAAGACGGGCACGTGCTTCCCGCTCCACCCCACGCTTAACCGTTCAAAACCAAGGAAGGAGAATTACAGTGTCAAAGGGATGAAAGCACGCCATGTGCTGCGTGGGCGTTTCCAAAAGATCCGGAACACCTATGATCAGCAAATGGAGATAACTGAGCGAAATAAAAAATCATTCCGCTGCCAGGGCGATGTACCCATAAAAGCAAGCACTACCGAAGCCCATTTCCTAAAGGGTCCTCCAGGTATGAGTGGCCTAGCGTGTCCCCGTCCGTCCCATGCCGCATTCTGTTTCTGCGCACACGCTGCCCGCGCCTTCCTCCTGCTCCCTTGCGGGGCCAGATCAGAGAGGTAGGGTGTTAGTGGTGGGTTGATGAAGACTGAAGACCCACTTTCTCCCCCTGGAGACCAGCCTGATCGGAACAAATTGAGGAGAACCAAGCAGCCCCTTCCTGTCCTTGGGAGCAAACCTGTTCTGCGTCTGTTTTTGCAGCCAGGTCTGCTCCCGTCTGGAAGGGGGAGGGGCAGTGACAAAGATCCCTGCTGGGAGGACACCAGTTCCTGCCTCACCTGGGCCCACCGAGTCATTGCCCATCAGGGCCCCTTTATTGGTGCTGCCGGCTGGATGAGCGAGAGTGAGAACCTGGGCTGGAGGGCAGTGAGTTGCCACTGGGGGCCTGCAGGGCACGGGGCTCGAGTGGTTGACCGGCTGCGCTGGTGTCCCCTGTCCCCGGTTCCTCGCTGTTTTCTTCCTTCGGGCTGCTCTGCTGCTCCGGACACTCAAAGTGGACACAGTGGAACACCTGGTGAGAGAAGGCAAATGAGTGAGTGACAGGTCAGTGCCCACCCTGGAGCTTCCCCCTGGAGGGACACTGTCCAGCTCTGGGGCTGCCACCTGGGAGCAAGAGGAAGTCCTTCCACCCCTGCCCCTGGCACAGATGCCCAGCAGCAACTGGAAGGCTCTAGACACATTTCAGGGTAAAAGTAGATGGACCCATTGGGCATTACAGACACCAGGACTGGATTCCTCTATTGTTGGGTTACTTTTGTCTCGGGAGCTCTTCTTTTTAATTAGCTAATTCTTGCATTTGGCAGCTGGGTTAAAAGTCAACGGGGCAACTATGGTGGTGATGGCTGCAGAGCTCTGTGAAGACGCTAAAAACCACCAAGTTGTACACTTTCAATAGGTGACTTGTATGGTATGTGAATTATCTCAATAAAGTTACTTACGAAAAAGCCATAGGGTATCACCCCAGGGGAGGATCCAGGCTTATCTCCTAGGGTGCAAACAAGCCCCTCCCTCTCTGGCTCCCTCTGGATGCCTAATTATAAGCTGGGGAGGAGACCTCACCCTGCTGCGGGTTGGGCCAACCTAGAACAAACGCCCTCCCAGGGAGGAGCCAACCACCACCAGGACCAGGGGAAGATTGCCTCCTGAGTCATCATGGGGGCATTTCCAAGCTCTGTGTTCAGTGCTGGGCCAGGTGTGTGCAGACAGGGCTCCCGCAGCACAGCGCTCAGCCTGCGAGGGTGAGCCCTGGCCCTGACCTTGAGAACAGCACGGATGGGGGTAGGGGGTGGGATGGGGGTGAGAGTGACATGCCTGGAACAAAGCAGGTTATACCGGAGTGTGAGCTGGACAGTGTGCAGGGGGAGGGGCCGTCCGAGGTGGGCCTTAGGCACCTGCACCCCCAGACACATGGAAAGTCCTCTCTCCTGGGGCCTGTCCTGGGTGCTGTGCAGGGAGGCCTTATACCCTGCAATGGTGGTCTTTGGTCTGGGGCACACGCGTGCTGGGAGCTTTAAGGAAATCAATTTCTAGATCCTCAAGGTGTGCATTTTCTAAAAGGGCCTGAGAACGTGACTGAAGTCACAACACCCTCCCCACCTCACTGAAGGAAAAAACGCAGCCCCCTCGTCTGCCCTCACTGCTGTGTGCTGGGCTGGCACAGACCCAGCACCCAGGCGGGGCCTGCGGGGGTGCAGCCTTTGTGGGCCAGGGCCCTCCCACCTTGGTCCCTGCCTGAGGGTGCAGTGGCCTCAGTGAGATGGTTAGAATTCAGACCTGAAGTACGTTCACAACTCATGTAATTTTTAAAAACATAACTGGAGTTTTTCTGGAATTAGGAAAACATTTTCAAGATACCCATGGACATGAGTTTTCCACAACCCCATTCACATTAGTGGTGCCTTATTCGAAGGTGGTTAAAACCTATTTTAGCAAATCATGTCATCAAATATTTATTCCTAATTAGTCCTTGTCGTCCATCTTACGTTTTTTTCCCTCTTATATTAACAAAAATAACTGTTTAAATTTAAGAAATATTTTACTTCTCAACCTTACAATGCTCCAAGGATCATGTTTTCCCAACGCTCCTTTGTAAAGGAGAGACGCAAACGAAACACTCAGCAGTCGCTCTGCACTCAGGAGACCAGGGCCTGGGCAGGGGAGGGACTCAGAGTGTTCCAGGCACAGGGAGTGACGTGGTGGGGATGCTGGGAGGAATGGGGTCTGAGGGGAGTGGGGATGTTGCTTATGGGCCCGTGAGGACTCGAGCAGGGGCCCTCCATGACCTGCTCACCCCAAAAAGACAGATGGGCCCCGCCTGTACATCGCCGGACACAGAGACCCTGGCCTCGGGAGCGCACATGCGGGTGACGTGGTACCAGGATATCTGGGTGGGGGGAACCCTGCAGCTTGGGCCTCCACCCCTTCCTCAACCAGCAGTGAGAGCTTCAAGCTCCAGGCCTCAGAGGCCAAGAGGAGGCGCTATGGTCCACAAGGTACTGAGAGAAAAACAGCCCAACCTTGGTCACTTGTTGGAGGTGAGGTATAGAGGCTGAGGTGGGTTGGCACAGCTCCCTGGGGAGGCTGAGGGGCCTGCAGGATCCAGCAGGAGGCAGAGGTGAAGGTCAGTGCAGGGGCAGCAGGGAGCAGACCAGGCTCAGCTGGAATGGGACTGAAGGGTGAGTTCCAGCTCCTGAGGGCCCAAGAGCATCTTAAAGACACTGGTGTGCTGAGCTAGAGATGTGAGAGGAACTGAGGCTGGGGGAGCCAGATGCCACCAATGACTGGGGCTGGGGGACCAGGGGGCAGAAGACCAGCTCCAAAACCAAAGCATCCTAGACAAACACCGTGTAGGGCTCAGGCTCTCCGCACGGCGCTACCTTATCCCGAGGCTTCTGCCTTTAGTCTCCAGGCGGCTTCTACACTAGCCCAAGGCCATGGGTAAGGAAGATGATGCCAACATGTTGTAAAGCTGTCGAACCTGCAAATGCTAGGTCTCAGTCATAACTGGTTTGTACTCACTGGTAAAGGGCTGGTGGCTGCCTAAAGCCTGTGTGGACAGCATGGAAGGAGGTCCCATGGCACAGGGCACTGCCATGCTCCAATCCCACGAGGGCAGACACACTGCTGGCCCTCCCCCCACCATCCAGTGTGCAGAGAATGCTATCCTCTTGCTTCCTTGGGGAGGGTCCACCCTTCCCTCCCCAGGGGCCTGCTGGCTGGAGAGGAGCCACTGAACTGGGATCTGCCCATGTTTGGTGAGTCCACTTCTGGAAAGGGCCATCATTAGTGAATGAGACACTGGTACCCTGGGTGTGGGTGGGACGCAGGGCAGGGCTGCTGGACACCGGCCACTCTCCCTGAGGGAGGACCAGGCAGAGGAGGCTGCGGGGGTCTCAGGAGGTACAGTTGCAGCAAAGCTGGGGGCTGAGGGGCTGCCCGCCTCCACCGGGAGCTCTGCATCGTCCACAGCTTGAGCAGGGCCTGCACATGCACTGTGCACACAATTGTGCACACACACACGAGCATGTGCACCATACACACCACACACACAGACCCGCCTACTGCAGACCCAAGTTCACAGAGAAGACAAATGTATTATCAACTGTGAAATTATAGTTAAAATATAAATTCCGTGCTTACCTTCCTGCATCACTATTTTTTCCATATTCCCACTTCAATTCATTTATCTGCCACTGTTTCAAATTTCACATTTCAAACTCTAATATGAAGACTAAGTGAGGCATTCATCTTCGCTCTGCTCTCTTCATTTTGGCAGAGCCTCTCTTCTCTGAGCGTGAGCTGGTTTCTCCCTTAAAGCTCAGGCCTTCACTGTCCTCAGCGCTGTGCTTCCTGCGCCCTGCGTGGCAGCTGCCTCTCCTTTTCTTTCCTTCCCTTCTCTCTTCCTTTTATATCAAATCTCCCTCTTCAAGCCCATCTGCAGGTGCTTGGCTGTCAATAGCCAGATTGGGGGGGAGGGGGCCTTTTATGAAGATTTACGACTACTAGCACCCTGGGCTCCACCCTAAGGACGCAGGGAGAATCTGAAAATCATCTCCTAAGTGGCCACATCAATCGAGTGTCCTCCATCGGTTTTACCTCCTTTAAGCCTTCGAAGGGACAAGACTGTCTCTGGCGGGCTGTCGGCAGTCTCTTTTGCTTTATGAGCACTCTTCTTTCCAAGCATGGGATAGTCAGGGACATGCTGGATAGGCTTTTGCCGAGTGGCCAGGGTGACCCCCCAAAACACAGCTCCGCTTCCTCATGTCCCACCCGACACTCATTGCCCCAGGAGCCCCTGTAAGCGGCACCGGACCTGTCCTCGTTTGCCTCACCCTGGTTTGCAGCTTCTCCAAACATGATGAATTTTCTGCACTATCCCCTATCCTGCCCCATCATGTCCTTTAATCGGTTATTTGTGTAATCCCCATGCTCACACCGCGCCTGTCAGTACCTCAGAACCTCAGAGTTCCGGCTGATGCTAATCCCTGCACTGACTCACATATGTCCTGCTCCCCAGCTTGTGTCGAGTGGATTTGCTCTCCTCGTGCTCTGTGAACTCAGCCTCTGATTTTCAGGAGCGCTCTGCCCACCCTGCGCGGTTCAGGGCGCCTCCGGCCCAGGGCCCAGCTCTCCTGCCTCTGCCTGCTGGTCTGTTGGTCCCCCTCTGACTCGAGGCCCACTCCTGCTCAGGGCCTCACACAAGAATAAACCAATCAATAAAAATCCAGGATTGAAAAATAAAGTTAAAACCAGGCTCTAATGGCTGGTCCTTTAGAATGTGCTTCTCACCCAAGAAAGGGTCCCCATAGACGATGCTGTCCAGAGGGGCAGCTGGCTTTCTGCTCTGCACTGAGCTGGTAGAAAGCCGGGAAGACACTGTTTGCAGTGAGCACTTAGTAAGTGCTCACAGGCCTGACTCCTGCCGCCTGGTTCCCATTGTCACCACTTCTCTAAGCACACCATCTTTGACCCACGTAACCAACCTGTTTTAAAATAATGCAAATGGCTGTTCCCAACACACCTAACAATACCGATGGCAAATCTGCACTGGCTGTTTCAGTTTTCTCTGCATATTTTTCCAGAAATCATAACCTTTCCTCCCCATACCACTCTGCTCAGGCACCTTCCCTCTAAGTTGGGGGAAACTGGAGGCCCTTAGAAGTCCCAGCAGCTACCTGCTGCCAAGCTCCCGGGGCTATGGGTGGGCGCACTGTGACCAGCTTCAGTCTGTGATCCCTAGGTCCCAGAAGTGTCACTAAAGGCCCAGCTAACTTTAATCGGGTCCCCTGAGCACTTCCGGAGAGCCAAGCAGCTGTGCCAGATTCAAAGGCAACACACAGGAAACAGTTTTTTTATTAAGTCACAGACTGAGGGGTGACGACTCTAAGTGAGAGGGTGTTTTACAAATGGAAAGATGGGTGAGGCCTGAAGTCAGTGAAGAGGTGGAGAGTGTCATGGGCATCAGAGTGAGCAGGTTGAGGATAGGCAGGGGTGGGGAGAGGGCACAGAGGG